TCGGCATTCTCTTCATTGTGGGCAATTATAGACGATTTTAGTTAACTTGCTTTAATTGAGAAGTTTGAACTCAGACTGTGAGCTCAACTCCATAGCCTGTGGTAAGGTGTTCTGAGAGCAAATAGATTGATTTGACACGTTTACAGCCTCTTACAACTTTTTAGATTAAAATTCTACTTCTGGTCTGACAAATCAAATTCATAAAGTTCATTAATTTTAATTATTCCTTCCTGAATGTGTAAAATTCTCATTCATTTTCAGATTGTATTTTTCCAAAATTTTCAACTAGTACTGAAATAATTTTCAGGATGGAGACATGAATGTATCCAGGCTGCTGTCAAAGATATTTTCAGTGAATCTGCAGTGATCTCAGTGTTATATATCTGTTTTATCTTGGAATTTCAGAAGGATGATTCCCAGAGACTTCTGGAAAGCTTCAACTCTGATGAAAAAGAGCACACGCTCACGAAAAGTAAAGCAGAACCCTATACATCAAAAGAGGAAATGGTGCTGGAGGTAAAGCTATGCTCTTGTTGGTGGATGTCCATTTTGCTGCATGTAGCAATGAGCACATTCAGGGCCTGATCCAAACTCTGTGAATTTTAATAGGTTTGGAATTGAACCTTTAAAAAGTGTTCAGAAAAAGTGTAAGAAAGAGAGTGGGAGTTGATGACTGCTTATGAATGCAGCCATTTCAGGCACTCGTTCCCGTTATGAATTGCATTTCTCTTGGGGGACTCTTTTTGGATATTTTAATCAAGATCCTGAGTTCTTTTTGGACAGAGGGTTCTTAGGTTTTGTGTCTACATTGTCCTTAATTTCAAAATGCTGGTGGGAAAAGTTAAAACTATTGACATGAGAAAAAGTTATTAAGTACTGAAATCAGTGCTGGTAGCTGATAGTGGATTCTTACCTGGAGAAGGAAATTTATTAGAGAAATTTTGACAGTAACAAAATTCCTTCACCAGGTCCAATCTAGAATAAATACTTTTTTTGTAGAGCCTCTATAGAGGCTCCAACTCTCAGTTGGACTGAGAAGATCAATGGAGAGAGAAAGAATAAATGAAGTAAAATGAGTACGTTTGCTAACAGCAGCATCTTCAATGGCTTTTTCACATAGGAAGTTATCCCATCAGGTACCAACTGAAGATACAGTGCAGAGTTTAAATGACCACAACAACTGAAACACCACTGTGATGAGCTGGGATTCAAGGACACAGAAACAATTTGGAAAGAAAAGTAGGAGTAGGTATAAACTTAACCCACCCGCAATCAAAAATTCAAATAGTGATTGTGGGTTTTTTTGTGATAATCTCAAAATAACTTGAGACCCAGTCCTACCATGTAGTTCTTAGATCATTGCCTTTCACCCAAAGCTGCTTTGATTGCTCTTGGTGAAGCTAAAGGTTGTGAGTTAAACTGCACATTGGAAAAAATGTGCACTTCAGCTAACTCATTCAGTCTATTATACATAAATTCAATACATGCAGAAAGTGTTGGTTAAAGCCAGCCAGTCTGGTGCTTAGCTTGTAATGAGAACTGGTTTCAAGACAAAGAGAAGATAGACTTTATTGTAAACATTTTACTGTTGGTTTAAATCCTGACAGGTGATTAATCTCCATTTCAGTTTTGTGATCAGGAATGGTGACAAACCATGGTTGGTCATTTTGTTTGAGTTAAAGTACAGCATAATGAGTGAGCATGGATTAGATTTTCTTCTGGAGTATAAATCCTGTGGGAGAACTTATGCAGTGATATAACTTTATGCATATTACCATTCCTTTTGAAATGGGATCACAGTCTTTTAAAGGTGATCATTCACAACTATATCCATTTCCCAAACACATTAGCTCATTTATAACACAGTAACAAGTAACGTTGTTATTTGAAGGGACTTTCTCCCACCTATTTGTCTAACAACTGAAGTTATGTTTTTTTTTTCTATTCATTTGTTCTAATTCCAAGGGCTTTTGCTGTTACTAGCATCAAATTGACAGTTTATGAAGAAGCATAGATGGAAAATGCTTTTAGTTAGGGTAGAGCATTTCAGAAAAAACAGGTATTTTAATTCTGAGACCTTCCACATTTCAATAATACCATAATTATCGTATTAATAATAACTGTGTATTACTCACGCCTGCTGAGAAACAGGATGTGTTAGTTCTCGCACACTGCAATAGGGCTTTACAGCTTTGGACTGGAGCTGCTCTGCCTCCAGCCATTGCAGAGCAATAGCTCTGTCAGCTTCTGTCCTGCAATATGTATTGCAACAGTGAGACTGTCAGTATGAGCAAGTGTTTTAATGCTAACCTCGTGCTTTTAACTTTATCAGTAAATCCAAAAATGACTTCTGGAAATAAATTAAATGGAGATGGAAAGGTGCAATGATACAAGTCTAATGAATGACTTAGTTTGCTCTTTCCATTTCTATTTTTAGACTCTATTAGTGCTTTGATATTGCGTACAAAAATCTATATAAAGAAAATTGTGTTTTGACAAATTAGATTCTTTCATTTCGTATGAGAAAACCAAAAAAGTTAGAATAGGAAATCTCCTAAAGCTTGGATTTAAACATTCTATCTGTTGCTTATAGCCAACCTTTTATTAAGCCATATGCAACCTCACAAAACAAAGCTGATTATCCCATTGTTCCAGTGCATAAAGCAGTGGCTAGGAAAGAGGAGGAGCAGAAAGTCAGATTACGTGATGTAGCAGATTGTATGAAAAGAATGCATTATCTATAGAAAGTTCTTTGGAAGAACATTGGTATTTTCTCTAGATTATAGGTAAAGGTTGTACTATAAAAGTTCTTCCTGGAAAAAATCATGACTAGTTTTGTTTAATCTGTTGTTTCTTTATTTAAATTGAAAGACAGAATTTATAGCCATGATGATATCTGTGGAGCTTATCCTTTAGTAGTTTCTAATATTAAGATCATATCAGCCTCTCATGAAATCTTTAGTTGCTGCTAAAGGGGCAAAAAAACCCAAAATGAAAATAACTTGTGAATACCAGCTACTGCCTGTTTTCCCTTGCAGGAGTAAAAACATTTTTGAGCAGCGGCAGAGTTCCCTTTTCTGGGTTTCAGACTCTGAATGAGTATTATGAGAAGACTTCTTGTGCCAAACCAGAAACAGTCAATAAATAGTTATCAATAGGAATTTCTAAGTTGTGTAACCAAAAGGAGCATGCGATACTTACAGTGAACAAGCATCATATCTAGTGCTGTTACCAAATGGTTTTCTGTTCTTTTCCATACAGGAAAGTGAGTCTCCTCTGAACAGTAACGTCACGGCATTCGCATTAAAGGCAAAAGTGATCTATCCTATCAATCAGAAATTTAGGGTAAGGTAGAAATTAATGACAATCATTCTGTGTCAGAGTAAATTGCAGAGTCAAGTAATGGAAGAAAACTTACTGCCAATCTGCTTAATAGCGATCTTTCTTTGTTTACAGTCCCTTGACTCGTGGCTTATTCTGTAAGACATCAGCTGCTTTCAGCTCCCCCTGAAACCTGCTTTACATGGTGTCCAGTCAATTTTCACTGTAGTCAAGAGACCTTTTCTTCCCATTAATGTTAAGGGAAGTTGGGTCTGTCCAAGGAGCCATAAGAAAAACCCTACAAGGATCTGCCCTTCAGTAAGAAAACATGCACCAAGCAGATAACCACAACAGAAGAATGCTTTTCCGGGCAGTGCAGAAACCTGTCAGTATGATGAATCTTAATTTATGTGAAAACACTTTTGCTATCTATATTGTTTAATTTTTCACTTGAAAGCAAACACTGCAAATTGATGAGATGTTTATCTCCTTGTTGTGCTGTATTAATTGACCTTGTGCATTTTCGTTGACTGTAGCCTTTGGCAGATGGTTCATCCAATCCATCTTTGCATGACAATCCAAAGCAGGCAGTTCTGCCTAATCAGGTCATGGAGACGTCTACCTCAGGCAGCCTGGGATCCCTGAGCCAGGGAGACAAAGAGGACTGCAGTTCCTCCACAACAATACATACCACAACAAGCGATGACAGATTTCAGACTCGAGCCTTCCTCAAGGTGACCAGCTTCCCTGAAATGCTAACATGTGAGAGGTAAGCAGTAAACCTGCCCTTGTGTTTGGTCATTTCCTAGTGTGTCCCAGTGGTTGTCAGGACAATTATTAAAGGTCCGGGGTAAACCAAAGGGTGGGCTTGAATGCATACATTCACCACATCAAGACAGTGATGCTTGTATATCTGCTTATAAGCCTAAAAAAGTGGTTGAGGAGATTAAAGTAATACATCATGCTGCGTATTGAAAGTCTATGAAATTCTGGGAATCAGAACTTTGGCAAAAACTGTCTTGTAAAAGGTATATCACTGTTAGGATAAGGAGCCTCTGTTTTGGCTTATATGCTCAGTTCACACGTGCAGTGGCATGCTCAGCTGGGGACGGAGTCCTCTGCACTGTACAATGTCAAGTCACACAATGGATGCCTTGAGAACAGTAAGTGGCAGTGATCTGTTCTCTCCTTTTTGATGGGAACTACTCATGTTTTACTGTGGGAAAACAGTTCCTTTCTCAGACATGCCACTGGTGAGCAGGCAGAGCTAATTGAAATGGACTGTCAGCTCTTAATTTTCTTTCAGCTACACCATGGCAAGGTACCCCTAGATGAATACATATGTGTTTGCACTCTCATTAGCAAGAATAAAGAATATCATATTTGTGTGACAGTGGGGACTGGGGAAGGTACTCGTGATGAATAATATTTTCAAAATGTCCAGTCTTATTATAACTGTTTTATTTAAAGCCTTGTTTTCCCTTTGTTGTAGCCATTCATGCCTATATTTACCTTTCCTTTTTCTAAAGGGAATGCCAACTCCACCTTTGTTAAAAGCACTATTTTGTTTTGCTTAACTTTATGTTATTTTATCTGAAAGAGGAGGCAATGTGGAAATAAAGTGACTTAACTGCTGTTTTGAGACGATGCTTTTAGGATAATTTAGTGGTTAAATGAAACTATTTTATGATGTTGCCCTTTGTATAACCTTCCTTTAGACTGATGTTAACACTTTTTAAATCTTTCTTTTAGTTTTGATATTAAACTCTGCCTTTGCAGTCTTATTTTAAAAGATGTCACGCTGCTTGATACTGAACTCAGAAAAGAAAAACATGTGGTAGGTACTCATGTCTCCTTTATAGCTATTAGTTTTTAACATCTGAGTTGAATATCAGTTTAGGAAGTAACATAAACAGCTGGCTAGCTGCTAAGTAGTGTAGTAGAGTTGCATTGCTGTGGCATTGTCTTTTATTTTTTTTCCTGCTGTTCTGTATATATATATAAGTTTCATGAAGGAATAAAATATAATGAAATATATTGGGCTGTGAAATACAGAGAGTAGACTGGATAATATAAACATTTGGTTTTAAACTTTACTCCAGAGAATAACATACGGTGCTTGAAGTTCATAAAAAGAGGGGGAAAAAAAGTATTTAATAGATGAGTTTATGTCTTAAGGACAACGCTTGTGCATTGCGAGTCCAAAGACTCCAAGCTCTTTGAATAACATTGAAAATTCAGTTCAGCTGAATCACTGCCATTGTGATAAGTATATAATAGTCATGATTTTGTAGGACTGAAGAATTAAGGTACCCATATAAACCATAGATAGCTACCTACATCAAGTCACAGCATCCAAAGCCGACAGGGAAAAAAAAAAACAAAAACCAAAAAACAAACAAAAATGGATGTGTACAATTAAAGCCACAGAGTACTCGGTTAGCAGAATTGTTTATGGTGACTAGTTATGATCAAGTACAGAATCATTACTGTTACTGAGTTTTAGCTCAGTTAATATAAATCTGGACATAAAGTATATAGCTTTCTTCTCCCCCTTTTTCCTGACGTCTGTTTAAACAGATTGGTCATTCCTCAGATAATTTATTAAATGCACCGAGAATATGTCAAGGGGTGTGATTTTCTGGACAAATTTCTACACAACCCCAGGAAGGAAATGTGAAAGTAGACCTGGAAAGCAGGTTTTCTTCTGATGGGTTATTCCCATCTAAGTAGATGAGAAAGGGAACTTGAGATCAGATTCCAGAAGGAAGTTTAGCTTGAGTAGAGAAGGTTGAACTTGATCTCAAAGTTAATCATCAATTTGTAACTGAAGGTAAAGGAACAACATGGTGATGTAATCATAGAAACACTGAGAAAATGAACATTTACACACTTTATGGCCCAACAGAAATTACCACAAAAGGCAGATGACTTTGACCTTTAGCTGAAGCTTTGAATAGCTTTATATTTTTACTAGCAGGAGAAAAGGGCAAAAAAAATTCAGTCTGAAGAATAGTTTCTTCCTTTTCCATTCTGCTTTCTCTGATTTCAGTTAGTCTTTCTTAGCATCAGATCAGAGGAAATATATCCTCTTCCTTCAGTGCTTTCCTGCATTCTTTTTTTTAAACGTGGTATCTTGGTGGTGTGTGTTCAAAACTTGCCAAGCTCCTACCCAAAACATTGGCAAGTCAGATCCGGAACATGACTGCTTTATGATTTCTCTTCTACTGAGCTCTAATTATAACATATTTTCCAGATTTTGCTCAGCTGAAATGTTGGCTTCAATAATTGTTTTTATATGTAAATATGATTTTATTTATGTTTTGTATGTTTAAAATGGGCAACTTCTACATCGTCTGTTTTCAAGTACATGAGTAAGAGGCAGGTGGCTGTTAAATTTCACATATTTTTATCTTCATGTTGGAAAATGCTGCAGCAATTAGTAATGAAGTGAATTGTCTTTACACTGACACTTTAATTGAGGCAAGAAGGGAAGAAGTTCAAAAACTATCCCAGTGTTCTAGAACATCTTTTTGAAGACACTAGTATTACAATCTTTTTTTTTTTTTAAATAAGAAAGGCACACAACTGGAAAGTAAGTGTATTTTTTGCAAGAGAAGGTAGCTAGTACTTGAGATGGTTACTTTTGGGTTGTACATCAAGATGTTTGATACTTGACTTGGCTGACTACAGTCGAAATCATAGTAATGAATGTGTTAGTACCTTCCAGTTTAAAGACTCATTAAACTTTAGAAAAATGGGCTTTGTATTTTAAAGTGATTTGCATTTTCTCCAGTAAAGGACAGTTTCAAATGTGTCAGTCTGGTTACAAGGATACATGAGATTGTCTTTGTGTTTGTTAGACTGTAACACCATCTTCCTGTATCTTACCGAAGCCAAAGCCAAAGAATTTTTCACAGTGGAAGTACTGTAGAGTTGCTGATGATGTTTCTGTTGTTTTGTTTATGATTCATGATAGTCTCACTGATTGATTTAAATCAACAAAAGTTAACATAAATATGTCCTTACCATGTTGAACAGGCGCTTACTCTGGGTTTTGTTTCCTTCCTTTTGAATAGATGTCCATTCAGATTCTCAAAATATACTTCACAGACTTTTATCATAAAAAAAAGATTTCTGATGATTTGTTCAAGAAGATCCTTTTAATTCAGGAAAATGTAAGTGTTTTTGTTGACTAATATTTAAGACCACAGAAAATAAGAGTTAATCCCACCAGTTAGTGCACACTGTCACAGCAGGCTATCTTACCTACTCCTTTTAAGCATCAATGTCATCTGTAATCTATTTCAGAAGAAATGCAAAGAAACTCCATTGTTAGTTGATTCTCTTCATTACCTTGTGTACATTTCTTCTTTGTTGTTGTATGAGGTGATCAGGATAGTGGTGTGTATAATCTGTTAAGGATAAAAATATATTGTAGTATTTTGTAGTTGAATTCATTCAATCAAACAGAACGTTGTGAACCTTGTTCACTCCCATTTAATAATTTCTAATTATCAGGTCTTTGTCTGGTACCATATATCATTACTGATAACAAAATAGCAGGAAATAAAGTACCAGAAGGAAATGCAAGGCTTTCTTCAAGGGAAAATATACCTATTTTTCTCATTATCCTTTTTTTCTTCCATATACTTGTGTCAAAATCCATATGCCACTTCTGAACTGGAAGACATACATTGACAGTCAGTATGCATTTCAGGTGGAGTCACAGTACTATTTTTAAGATTATTAGAAGGAAAAAAAGTTTTACAAAGCTAAACAAAATAGGAGAGCTACTGGTTCCACTTTCCATTTTCCAGATTAGAGTCATAGAAAAGTCTGAGTTGAGAGGCAGATCTGGAGATCATCTCATCCAACCTTCTGTAGGAAGCAGGGCCTTAAGTAAGGTTATCCAGTGTCCTGCCAATCAAAGTCTTGAATATTTGCACTGAGGGAGACTCCACCATTTCTCTGAGCAGCCTAGTCCAATATTTAATTTTCTCACAGTAATGATTATTTTTTTCTTAAATACAGATGGAATTTCACATTTAGGCATTAGTCAGTTTGTCAGCTCTAGTTGTTGAGATTTATTTTGTTTGTGCAGTCTCACAATCTGTGAATTAATATCAGGCATCTCTGTAGTTGTACCTTATAATTTTTATCAGAATACATTCTGCCTTAAAACCACTCTTCTGCCTTAAATCCTCAGGTTTAGTATTAAAGTTGATTGTATTTATTAGATGAAAAGTGAGATTTGGTGTGTGGATTCCTTTTTCTGATGGACTTCTGGTTATGACTTCAAATTATAAACACAGAGGTAATATACATTAGGCATGTTTCCCAGATAGCCTAACCCTCAATGAGGGTTGACGGCATCAGTGTCTTCATGCACCTAACTGAGCTGCTGCAAGAGAAAGACTAAATCTTGTTTATTAGCTGCAATAATTGCCATAGTAGTCTAGTTGTTCAAGTGTCAATATGGGATTCCTGTATCCTGTATTATGGAGAGAAAGGTCTTGGAAATGTGACAGCCTTAGAGTTGGGATATCACATAAGGGGCAAAGCTGGTTATGAATACCATGTAAAAGGGACGTTGGTAATAAGCAAAAGCATTAGCTCTGGAAACTATTTACTCTAATACTGGATTGACAAGGCAGAGGATTATATGATTTATTGCAGACAGCATTTTCCTCTTAATTCTGCATTGTAAGAAAAAATCACGGGATTTTGATGAAATTGTTTGTGAAGCTTGTCAAAATCTGGTTACATTTCTTTAAGGTATAGCGGTATCAAATTAACAAATTGTCACCCAAAACTAGGTGGTATTAAAAGTAAATACTTTTTATGTAAGGTGTGTTTCAGCAACTGAAGGATCATTCATTTCAGTTCCAACCTACTAAGTAATGGCAGAAGACGAGTATTTGTTGGTATCATTAGCTTTCAGAAAAAATTATCCTGGCTTCAAAGGACTGAAAAACTTAAAAAAACCATATAATCATGTAGCCTGTAATTTGTCCATGTGTACTAGCACTCTGCAACAAACACTATCTGATTATCCTATCTGGATACTTATCAGTGCTTTTAAACACAGTGCGTACACTCATAGCTTCCATTTAAGATGGGGCAGGTGCATTAAAATAAAAATATTTGTGGATAAATTCAAAGGATTATTAGTATGAAAGTTCATGGAACAATGTTTACTAAAACTTGAATTCAGTGGAGATGGACAACAGTCTTGATTTTGCTCACATACTAGTGGAAATGTATGTTTTTGTATTAAGTATAGTTCAGAGCTGCCATATACCTTGAGTTTTCTTTACTTGCTGCAGAAGGTGTATTACCCAGACAGAACTTTCTGAATGCTTTTGTTAAGCTTCCTTAGCCATGAGCCAGAACTGACATACAAATTCACTCTCAAATTTAGAAGTTATGTCTGTTTTTCTGTTTAACAAATCACTTGCTTTTTTCCCCAGGATTTTGAAGAATTACAGAAACAACTTGACTCTAGACTTCAGAATACTGAGATGTCAGGAGCCCATAATTCAGAGTACCAGACTCTTGAAGACTTAGAGAGGAAAGAAAGGGAATATTCTGAGCACGTAATAGATAATGTAACTTCCTATTTTTTTCTAAAATTTTATTTTAATGTTATTCTTCTGATAGGGAATTTTTTTTTTAAAAACTCTTGTGTTGACTAGTCCACAGTTAGTAGTTTAAATGTGTATGAGTGCTGAAAACATTTTTACATTGCTCCAGCAAAGTATTTCCAGCTGCCTTTGGGAGCCAATATGGTTTTTACACAAACACAGTTTTATCACACTGGGTTTAGAGCTGAGAAATGTCTATTGCTTGTCAGATGGTAAGATTTATTTCAAGCCTACGTATAGCCTGACTTTCAGGAATTTTATCCTAGCACCTTGTTTCTTCAGTCCTCCATAACTGAGTAAGAGAGTAATAAGAGACTATAAAACTTTTTCAGCTGAAATAAATTCTAAGAAAATAATTACAATACAACCTTTCAGTATGCTTTGCACATTTACTTTAGCAAAACATTTTTCTTTAGCAACTTTCCACATTAGAATACATTTACATGTTTTTTGAAGTAAAAATGTAGTTTGATAGCAGGCAATTGTTTCTCAAAGATGTTTTTTTTTTTTTTTCTCTTCAGTTGTGTCACTCTGTCCAAATAGCTTGCAGGCTAGAAAACTGGAGGTTAAGAATATTCTGTATATTATTTTCCAGTAAACTGAGTAATCTGGAAGGTATTCTCCTTCCCAGTCCTGTTTTGAGGTTTGAGCAAATTCACTGCTGATGGAAATGACAGACTGACTAGTCAGACTGATGGCTTTGTGAGCTGCCTGTGCTGATTGACTGTGGCACTTCAGCCCTGAACTAAACAGCCCATCATCTCAGCCTTGGGCCTTTTTCATAGAGGAGTTAACATTTTTTCATGTCTGGTGGTTAAGTGCTTCACTGGGAATTTCTTCAGCTTTCTCTTGATTATCTGTGCCTTTCACTTTATAGTGGAAGTCCTGGTAATGATGGTACATCCGTGTCAAGTTTCTTTTGCAGTTTAACTTTGCTCTGCGAAAAATTGATTGTTTAGAGTTCTCCAGAATTAGTCACATAAAAAAATCGCTGGCAGCCTCACTGAGCAACATGAGACAGTTACTCACCAGCAGCAGTCATCCTTCAGTGGGTCTGTCACTCTTATGCCGGCAGATGGTTTTCATCCATATTAAAAATGATTTCGCTGTACGCAGATTTGTATAGATCAGGACCTTGAACTAATGCACTCTTCCCTCAGTAATATAAAGGATTTTTTTGCCATACTCACAGATGCCATAGTCACAGTTTTTCCAAAACTCACAGATACTTAATACAAATCTTAGCGATGGATACATTTTCTTGTCCTTATGTGTACTAGTAATCCCACTGAAGACCACAGAATATTCACAGTTGTGCACAGTCATAAGTGTTTGTGGGATCGGAGCCTAAAACTAGAGATTACCCATACGATAGTATATCAGAAGTATCATTAAAGTTCTTCATTCCAGTGCAGTTAATAAAGTGCTTATGTAGCATGTGGCTATGAAAGGCTTTGATGATGAAAAACAGTGACAATTTTCAGTTTTCCTTTTTTAGCAAAAATCTTGCTTGACTGGAATGCCTGCTCCTACAGCTACTCCAGAAAAAAGGGCTGTAGTTCGTTATCTTTTTGTGTTTTTTCCAGTAATACTAACAGCATAATAGGCTTTTATAGATGCAATATGTGGAGAACTAACAACAAATTCTTAGCGAGTTGTACAGAATTATTAGATTTTAAAAGGTCAGGATTGACCTACTGGTTATGTGCCACCGATATATGTATCATCATATAGTAAACAGGCTCTTTAGCTTTGCAAAGTGTTCACTATAACTAATACTGAAAGCTATCTGTAGTCTCAGTGATTTGTATCTCGATAGACTCATATGCCTCTCACTGTAATGAAATACTAGATGATTAATGAGGGAACATGGATTGTTTTTCAATTCATGTGCCACAGATGGAAACTTTCTGGAAGCAGACTGACAAAGCGCAGCAGGCTTTTTTGGACCAATCAAAGTGCTCAAGTGCCAAAGCAACGAAGATAATGATGGATCTGACCGAGAAGATGATTGCAGTAGAAAGCTTATTAAGTGAATCTCAAGATTTGCGGGCAATGGTAAAGTACAAAAAGAAATAAAAGTTGAGAGAGATTTAGTCGATCTGAACACAAAGAATGATGCAAGTGTAGAGAATCTGTCAATCCTGCATCAGGAATGATGTAGGCTGCTTACTCCAGTTGTCTCTTCCAGCTTTGTTGCAAAGAGCTTAACTTCCATTGCAGTTTATGAAGACTCACAGGAGAGTGAACTCTCTGCACTTGAGTTCTAATTCTCAAAATAACGTTTAGGCAGTCATGTTAGGAAAAAGTGATATTAATGCAGCCAGTGAGCCAGGAGCAAGAGCACTCGATCTAATGATGAAGGAGAATCATTACCCTGGGCATTAGGATGTTTCTTTTTATTTCAAAATATTTATTCCACTTTGACTGAGAAGTCCTAATTTAAATTTGAGGGTGATTCTGTGTGTCCAGTGCCTTTAACTGGAATTGAAAACTCATGACATCCCTTAGTGATAGGGTCTTAAGAGGGAAAAATGTGTTTATAAATACATCAGCACTGTGCGTTATGTTGTATTAAATCTAACATATCTTTTATTTGCTTTGCAGAGGACGTGCTGAAAGAATTGCTTGGAATTTATAGATCAACAGTGTAATCAGAATCTGGCCCACTTAATTTATTAGTAATAAAATGGAGAATAAATGGATAGCTAGCTTTATTTGGCTTACTAATGAACAGAGACAGTAATTATTAGCTCGTTAGTTTCGCATTGGAGCAGCTAAGTAAACTGAGCTGGCCAGTTATGAAAATAGTCTTTGCAGCTGCTCACACTTGACCCATACCAGGCTATGGTACAGTAAGTTCTGTCAGATGGGCAGACTTCAAATTAGGTGTTTGGATACAGATACAGGAAATATTCCTACCTGAAGTCACTATTGTGATGCTTACATCTCATTGCAAAGGTCATTGTATGTGTGTCTCCATTAACTATAGTAGTTGTAACCATC